CAGTATCTGTATTGCAAACTATACTGCCCAAAAGGGGAGGGTTGAGGGAGGGTGGGGAAGATAGAAGGGGTGGGAGAAGGAGAGAGGAAGAAACTTGCCTGCCGGTGGGAAGGGGGGAGGGAAACTGGGAAGTTGGTGGTGGGGAATGTATACCTGTGAAGGGATGAGTGTTGGAACATTATATTACTGAACCCCGATCATGAACAGCCTTTTAACTGTGTACCTCACTGCGATTAGATTAAAAAGTTACAGAAAAAGAAAGTTGCCAAATGGGATTTCAAAAAAAGAAAAAAAATGACAGGTGTTGTTTCTGAAAATGAGTGAATAGTGGGGAGAAAATTGTACTGAAGGAGTAGAAAGAATAGGGAAATTGGAAGTATGGTGTAGGATCTCGTAAACATTTCTAGTAATAAATTTTTTCAAGGACAAATCCCCTCCCCCATTTTTATTGAGTCACCATGGTTTACATGGTTTATATACTGCTAATGATAGTTTTGTGCATGTAACGTCCCTCCACTACAGCTACCACCAGTGTCTGCTTGCTTCACTTTTCCAATATCCTAGGCACCCCCTCGTCTCCCCCCTTGCTCAGAGAAAGGTCAGTTCTATATACTGAATCAAGTTCTGTGCCTTTGGATATTTATTATTCTCTTACTATGTTTTGTTTTTTTAAAAACATTTTTATTTTAAAAGGTAGTCCACAATATTTGATTACATTTAATATTCTAACACCAATCCCACCACCATTACACTTTCCCACCACCACATTTGGGATGTTTCCATCCCAGGCCCCAATCCTTGTCTCAGAGCACAACCGAAGTAATATATTTTATATTGTCTGTTATGAAAAGCTGGAAATGCTACAAAAAAGTATCCAGAGAGGAAACAGTATCCATAGAGGAAACAGTGTGAAGATTGTTCTATTTTAGCAGGAATCATTAAGACATTCCTTAGGATATCACTAATATGTTGTTAAAGGTTGAGTGATATGAGCTTTCGTATATATATCTGAAACTATTTATATATGCATATTTCCCTCTTGATTGGTTGCCTTCTATTTGTACCCCATCATATGTGGTATGGTACTCTTGGAGAATGGGTAGGGAGTGTTTTATAATGTGTCATGTGGCCGCACAAGGTCCAGGAATATGTTCACTTGTGCCTGAGGCTTGGCTTGAGCTTGTGGGGAGTGGCCTTGAGCATGGTTGAGTTGTGGAGGTTTTCAACTTCCGGGGATGGGTCCTTTGGTGCTCCGAGTGAAACAGCCTGGCGTAAGGGTCGGTGGCATGGCTGTAGGGGGCGTCATGTTGCTGACGTCTGGGAGAAAAAGCCATGCGATCTTTATATCCTATATATCGGAGGGGAGATCACTCTATGTCTGTCTCTTCTAATTGACTTCGCTCACAGTATCTTCTAGTTCCATTCATATAGTGGCAAAATGTATGATTTGTTTTTTCTAATAGTTGAGTAGCATTACAATGTGTATATACCACAGTTTCTTTACCTAGCTATTGTTCTTGGTTATTTGGGTTATTTCCAGATTTTGGCTATCATTAATAGTGCTGAAATGAACACAAATGAAAACATCTTTGTCTTTGAAATGTGTTTTTGGATCCTTAAGATGGGTGCCATGAAGTGAAATTACTAGGTCATTGGGTACCTCAAATCTTCATTTCTGAAAAGTGTCATTTGTTTTCCAAAGAGGTTAAACTAGTTGACATTCCCACCAACAGTGGATAGGATTTATTTTTTCCCACCATCATGCCAGCACTGGTTGTATTTGTTCTTTTTGTTTGATTTGATTCTAGGGGCCACTACTGACTGTGGCCAGGGATCACTACTGACAAGTTTTGGGGTATCAATGGGATACCCCCTATAGATGCCAGAGTTTAAACCTGGGTCAGCCACATGCAAATGGCCTACTGGCTGAATCATCTCTCCACCCTGATTTTGTTCTTTTTTTTAATGTATGCCATCTCATTGGTGTGAAGTGATAATTATGTAACTGTTCTATTTTCATTTTCCTGATGGCAAATCACATAGTGTTTAAATCGTAATGGTAGAGTGGAAGAAGAGCCGTATTCTAACTTACATTTTGTTTATATTAAACTGTCAAGGGGTGATGATGGAATCAGAAACACCATCTCATAAGATGGTGTACTCTACAAGAGAGTTTACTGAACTGAATGGCAGTGAAAGCAGTAGTAATGTGGTTGTGTTCTAGATGAATTTAAAAATGGAATTATTAGGGGTTTTTTTTGTTTCTGTTATTTTGTTTTTGAGATGTGAATATGAGGAATGTATGAGAGAAAAGGCAGAAAGAAGTTAATGAGCAAGATTTTTATCCCAAGCATGTAATATGCTGTATATTAATCGGACATTAATAGTAGAAGTTCGAGAGTAGACATTTTGAAGTGATAAGTATACAGTAGCATTGAGTCATTGGACTGGATTAGAGATCATCAGAGAAATGAGTTCACATAAGTAGGACCATGATAGCCGAGCTCTGGACTCCTCCATTCCTTAAGGAATAAGGGAGAACAGAAGGAACAGAAGGGAGAATGGTAAGCCACAGCTATCTTCAAGGTAAAATGAAAACTTGTAGAGTGCTATGTCTAGAGCCCAAGCAAAGTGGGTATTTCAAAGGAAGGGGCATGATCAACAATGTCAAATTATAGTTTTAAGTTGAAGGGAGGGAGAGGGATAAGATAATGATGAAAGTTGGTATTGGATTCAGTAGCAAGGATATCACTGGTTTTGGTGAACAATTCTGGTAACAAGAGTGGTCATTAAACTAGACTGGAGTACGTTTTAGAATGAAAAAAAAACAGATTCTAGAGAAAGTTTAGGTACCTCTTTTGAGAAATTCTACTGTAAAGGAGGCCAGAAAATATGATAATTAATGAAGTTAGACATTTTTATAACCATGAGAGAAGTACTAGCAAGTTTCTGTGCTGGTTTTAATATGCCCTGGTAATTGATATACAAAAGGACAGGAAAATTTCTATATTTTATTAAGAGAAACAGATTGGTGTCTTTTAAAATAGAGCAGAATTTGTCTTAGAAAGGAGTATGGTTAATACTGCTAGTTAAAGAAATAAAGCAAACGTATATGAGAATGGATGCCTGTAGGTGGCCACATAAAACACAGTCAAGGTCATCAGTTGAGAAGTGAGAGTGGAAGTAGGAGATTGAAGAGGAAAGATTTTGTCAAGTTTAGAAAAGTGAATGTACTAGGAAAATATTTTTGTTGAGTCAGTGGGATTTCTTGAAGATTTTTTTTCTTCTTTTTTTTTTTCTTTCTTGGGTCACACCCAGTAATGCTCAGGGGTTATTTCTGACTCAGCACTCAGGTTGTGCTCGGAGGACCAGTGGAATGCCAGGGATCGAACCCATGTGGGCCAGGTATAAGGCAAACACCCTATCTTTGTAGTATCACTCCAGCCCCTTCTTGATGAATTTAATGGGAGGCCAATTGGCACAATTTTGTTTTTATGAAACAGTTTTCAGCTCTTTTGATTTAGTCATGGAAATAGGTGAATGGAGTGTATTCAACTCATAAGTTTGTGGTTTCATCAGACATGTAGGACACAGAAAATGATATATTTATTCTGGAACAAACACAGTCGATATTTTCCTAAGTAGTTTTGTTTTTGCATGCTGCATGATTTCTGGCATAGCTGTCTGCCAATATAGCCCCAAAGCAGCCAGTTAATAAAGTGAATGCCCATGTTGTAGTCCTATAAAACTGTTAAAATAAGCTGCAAACCTTTGCTGTTGCTCACTGATCCTGATGTTAAAAAGTGAGGTCAATAGGCTATGGAGCTTAAGATTTTATGAAAGGAAGGGCAGCCATGGAAACGATCAGGATTGGGAAAAAATAGATCAGTGGCACGGTATCTCACTAAACTGTTTCCTGTGCTGCGTGCCCTTTTACCCTCCTTCTTGAGTATAGTTTTCTTTCTGCCTGATACGGTCCTTTAGATGTCATCTTTCTATTATATCTGTACCTTTACTTCCTCTGTAGTGCTACTAACATGCAGAAGATTCTCAGTAAATGCTGAAAATTGAAAATTATACACTTCAGTGTATGGTAGGTAAAATGGTTTCAAATTTAGGAGGATTATGAAAATTTAATTTCAGATTGTTCCACACAGTAGCCAATTCTAGAGTTGAACACAGTGATACTCAACTTTTTTTTCTGCTTCAGTTACCTATCTGATATTGTTCACAAGAACAGGGTAAGGTAGTACTCTGTTTCTCTTTCCTACTTGGTACTTAGTTGGAATTCCCTTCTTTCTCTCCACTGATCTTGGATTGGTGTCTTTATGCTGCTGAGAATGGATGTTTAAGCATATGACCTGCAATAAACTTGTGAGTATGGTAACTCGCTGCCTTATAAGTTACTGTTTTCTTTCAGTTAATTTTACAAGTGGTTTTCAACTAATTGTACATTATAAGATAATGAGTGGAACTTCTTTGTAGATATTTGTCGAATGTCTAGTTCATCTTTTCATAATATAGTTGAAGGAAATGAAACCTGGAGAGATTTAGTTACTTGCTTACATTGCATACATGAGTTAGCAAAGCTAGATTTAAAAATTCACATATTTAGCTCCTAGTCTAATACTTACTCTCCTGCCACTCTATTCTTACTGATAGGACATGAGGAAATTCTCAAACCAGAAAAATAAAATTTTAGAAGCTTTATTATTCTAAAATCATATTAGTCATCAGTACTGTTTAGATAGGGTTGGGAATCATAACAGTGTTGAAATGGTTATATTTTTTTTCCATAAAGTTACTGGTAAAAAAGGTCTGGTAGATTATTTTACTCTTATGTCTATATTCAGAATTAAGTCTTGCCCCATTAAAGTTGAACGCATGAAACTTTAATGTGTATAAATAATTGTATGGTTTACACTGATGTGAATATTTTTTTAACATTAGTTTTTAATCTTGTTTTTTTTTTCTTTTCTTTTTTTTTTGAATAAACTCAGAAAGATGAAGTCTATCTTAATCTGGTGCTGGACTATGTTCCGGAAACAGTATACAGAGTTGCCAGACATTATAGTCGAGCCAAACAGACGCTCCCTGTGATCTATGTCAAGGTACGTAAAAATGTAGCATCTCTTAGAGTTCTCAGAGTCAGAGAGAGTGAGTTTTAGCTATTTATTGCATCTAAAACCAAGGGATAAAACTGTGAAGATTTTGCCAGCCTTCATTCAAATTTTGTAGTTTTACAGTTGTGAAACCATCACCTTTTAAACTTTGATTTTTAGATATATCCACATTATTGTCATCCCTGCCACTTCATGGTCCCCAGAGTACCTCTGGAAGTGACCCCCAAATGCAGGTCCAGGAATCGCTCCTGAGGATCCGTCCCTGAGTGTGGTCCAAACCGCCCTCCTTCTCATCCTCCAGAAATTGTCATTTTGTGACAAATTATTACTTTTTCCTTCTAGTGTTGGGAATTGAACCCAGTTCTCATGCTTTCAAGGCATGTGCTTTACAGATCTGCCATATCCCCAACCTAATGACAAGTGAATCTTTTAACAATTACGGATTTTATTCTGTTACTATATTACTTTATTTTGCCACAGACTGAAATAAGAGCAAGCATATCATGTAAATGTCAAAATCAATTTCAGTGTTACATTGCCATTTATAGATACAGTTATGGTGTCTGCTGCTGATGTTCAAACTCAGATAACATGAAATAATCACAACCTGCATTAAAGTGTTAATTTTGGTGAAAAATAGCAATATCATCTTTTACTTGATAGAATTTATATTAGAATGGAGCGATAGCACAGCGGGTAGGGCGTTCGCCTTACACGCGGCCAACATGGCCGACCCGAGTTCGATTCCTCCGCCCCTCTTGGAGAGCCCGGCAAGCTACCGAGAGTATTCGATATGCCAGACACAGTAACAACAAAGTCTCCAGTGGAGACGTTACTGGGCCCGCTTGAGCGAATCGACGATCAACGGGAGGGCCTTTACCTTTACCTTGAGCAAAGAATGTAATCAGCATAATTCTGAGAAAAATTGTGATTAGAAACATTAATTCTAGAGCATTGTAAAAATGAACGTGGAGTTAAGTTAGAGTTTTTAAGATATCTAAATATATTTTGTTATGTTTTATCCATAATAGAAATAACTGAAAGTGATTGTGATTTAGAAATGCTAACACTAAGTTGTATCTTTTACTTAATATTTGCAATGGTTAAACTTACAGTTATAAAATGAGTACCATGGCAAGACTTCAGTAGCTAGATGATTTTAGCAATGAGTTCATAATTTCTATTGAATTCATTACTAGAGATGTAAAATTCTGACTTTTGTAATTTTACTTGTTTGAGAACTTGGTTAAATTGGTCTAATAGGAACTAAAAACAGTTTTAGTTTTAGTTTTGTTTTGGTGCCACTACTGGTGGTGCTCAGGAATCATTCCTGGTGGACTTGGTGGACCCCATACGGGATGCTGGAGAATCAAATTTGCGTCAACTGTGTGCAAGGCAAATGCCCTATCCTCTGGACTATCCCACTGGCCTCTAAAAACAGCTTTTTTACTATCTATTTGCTAATTTTATGGTTTAAAATAGTAGGTTCCTATTTACTGTAACCAGCACAATAATTCCTCAGCTCCCTAAATCTGGAGTAATTTTTGAGTTTTTCACTTGTGATCTTAGTTATGAGTGGTGATGATATCATTTTACCTGTTTGTGGCTTAATTATTGCCAGTTCAGAACACTGACACATTTTATGAAGCAGAAAAGCCTCTAAATTTAGGTACTAAATACCAAGTCTCACAATGGAGGAAACATTACTGGTGTCCGCTCAAGCAAATCGATGAACAACGGGAGGACAGTGCTACAATGCAATCATTTTATATTCCTGTATAACCAAGTTTGCATCCAGATTTCTTGGTTGAAAAGTGCAAGTGGAAAGGTTCTCTGAGAAGCCCTGATCTAGACCACCTTTTACTCCCTGGTTCTTTCATTTTGATATGTCACATGCTAGTTTTCATCTGCAAATATTTCAGCTGCATATGCATCTAGATAAATGCTTTTCTTTAAAAAATGAAATCAAAGAGTTGAAGATGTCAAAGCTGTACAAAACATGTCTTTTATGCATAAGACCTAAGTTTCATCCCTGGCATCACTTGCTTTCCTTCTCCCTGGAGCCTCCAGGTGTACACCTGGTGTTCCTGAGTAGCTCTATAAATGTATTAGCTATGGATTTTATAGGAGTTAAGAGTGTTTGCTTTTTAGGGCTGAGTGCTTTCCTAAGAATATAATATCTTTCTTCATGTGTGTAACTGGAGCGATAGCACAGCAGGTAGGGCATTTGCCTTGCACGCAGCCAACATGGCCAACCCGAGTTCAAGTCCTCCGCCCCTCTCAGAGAGCACGGCAAGGTACTGAGAATATCTTGCCTGCCGGCAAAGCCTGGCAAGCTACCCGTGACGTACTCGATATACCAAACACGGTAACAAGTCTCAGAATGTTACTGGGCCTGCTCAAGCAAATCGATGAACAACGGGAGGACAGTTACAGTGAGAGTGATGTGTATAATATGGCTTGTGCCTCTTGATGCTCCTTGACAAAATTCATTAATTCACTGGGGGTTTGTGTTGATATTCTGTTGTTGTTTCTTTGAAATTTTTAAGTTGGGATACTTCCATAAAGAGAAACTTAAAGTTTCCTTATTTTAACTACCTATCTTTTTTTTTTTTTTCACCTTTTTGGGTCACACCCAGTGATGCTCAGCAGTTACTCCTGGCTCTGCACTCAGGAATTATTCCTGGCAGTGCATGAAGTACCATATGGGATTTTGGGAATCAAACCTGAGTTGGCTGCATGCAAGGCAAATGCTCTAGCCTCTATACTATCGCTTCAGCCCCTTAACTGCTTAATGTCATTTTTATAAAAAGAACTTATATGTTTTGATTTGCTTATCAAATTTATTTCATGCCATCCTGCAGAGGTGAGCAGTTAAGGTTTTTATTTTTGCTCTTGTGTTTTGATGTCAGGTCAGACACTTGCAGTGTTTATGCATACTCAAGTTTTGGTGCACCCGGGATGGGACAGTGCTCTTATTGCATCTTTGGGGATTACATCTGTGTTGCTGCTGGGGATTGGATAGCTGGGTGGGGAGCTACTAGGGGTAGAATTTGTGGCCTTTTTAGAACCTGCACATTTACCAGGAGGTACATTCCCAGGTCCACTTGGATGTTTGTTTTAAAATCTTCTTTGTCTTTTTTTTTCCCCCTGCTTTTTGGGTCATGCCCAGCAAACATCCTACCCACTGTACTATCGATCCGGCCCCCTTTAAAAGCTTCTTGAATAAGTCAATAATCTTTCATTATTTTCTGGCTTTGTAGCATGACAATATTCTAGATTCACATCTACATTTCTTCCCCAGACCTGGAATCAGTCTTTTCTTACAGGAGACTTTTATTTAAGTGAAAAATGATATTTAAAAACTACAGTATGGTTTTTAGTGATGATAATTACTATAGAGTTGGTTACTGTTTCTGGGGTTTTTTTTAGTGGGCAGAGTTAGAAAATATGAAGATAACTATTTCAAAGGACAGATGCGTTTTTGTAAAATCTGAAAGTGTATGTAATATATACATAAGTTTATATTGATATTTTCAATTAGAAATAAGACATACGGACAGAGAGATGGTATGGGGGTAAAGTGCACATGACCAATATAAGTTCAATACCTGGCACAGCGCATGGTCTTCTGAGCACCTTCAGGTATGGCTCCCTCATAATACAAATATATATATGTATATATATTTAAAAATATAAGGGGGAGTGATCTTGTCTACCTTCATTTCCATTCTCCTACACTAAAAGTTCCACCTTTTCTTGACAGTGTGATTATTTGTTATGTCTCACACTGTAGTCCTAGGATAGTGATACTGGTATGTCCACTGTTAACTGAAGATAACTTAAGGTCTTGTGGCTTGCTTTATTCCCAGGGTGTATCCCGTTGGAGTGAACAGTCAAAATTCTGTTTCAGAGAAACAGTGAATGATTTTTTACAATGTGATCTTGCTTCTTGGGATTTTTCTTTCTTTTTACTTTTTATTAGAGGTTACATTTAAGAATTTTTTATTTTGGTGTTTTTTTTTTTTTGGTCTTTTTGGGTCACACTCAGTGATACCCAGGGGTTATTCCTCGCTTGCAAGTACTCCTGGCAGTGCTTCGGGGACCATATGGGATGCTGGGGATTGAACCCAGGCCAGCTATAATCAAGGCAAAGGCTCTACCTACTGTACTTTTATTCTGACCCTCAGCAGTCAAATAACTGTAACTGTTTCATTTTTGATAGTGCCAGGGAATCAAACTTAGGTTTTACGCATGCAGAGTATCGTTGTGCTGCACCTCCACCTTAAGTTAAAAGTTACAACCCTCGACCTTATTCTTTCCCAGAGTTAAATATATTTTTAAAATTTTACAGCTGATCTTAACACTTTCAAATAAGCAAATATGTATTAATTGACTTCATCTAACTACTTTTTTTTATTTAAATACTTGCATATTGGGGCCGGAGCGATAGCACAGTGGGTAGGACGTTTGTCTTGCACGCGGGCGACCTGGGTTCGATCCCCGGCATCCCATATGGTCCCCCAAGCACCGCCAGGAGTAATTCCTGAGTGTATAGCCAGGAATAACCCTGAGCATCGCTGGGTGTGACCCAAAAAGCAAAAACTAAATAAATAGTTGCATATTATGTGTAGATTCCTCTACCTCATTCTTAAAATTTTACCCTGGAGATTATTCTATATTTATATAGATAAACAGATGAAGATAGTTTTTCCTTCCTTTTTATTGTATGTTTGTATCCTGTCTCGTTCGTTATCGGAATTAACCAGACAAAGCAATAGCAAAGCGATAGGGCGTTTGCTTTGCACGCAGCCAACATGGCCGACCCGAGTTCGATTCCTCCGCCCCTCTCGGAGAGCCTGGCAAGCTCCCCGTGACGTATTCGATATGCCAGACACAGTAACAACAAGTCTCCAATGGAGACGTTACTGGGCCCGCTCAAGCAAATCGATGATCAATGGGAGGGCCTTTTTATTATCCTGATTAAT